ACCTTCTCTTTCTCTTTCTTCTTGTCCTGCCAAATGCACTACAGTCAAACTCACATGCACCGCTCTGAGAGAACGCTTAATGTGCTTCGCGACACGAAGGGTATCCAACGCCCTTCCACCCGGACAAAACACTGAAGAAGTGGGAACATCTTTGTTCCCATCGGGCGGGTCAAGATGGGTCTAACATGGTCTACCGGTCTCTGTGCTTGTTCTGAATGAAGCCAGCAAGAGGTCATGTCTTCCACCGACTGGAAAGTCCTTCTTGTCATCCTTCTTGTCGTCCTTGCCTTTCTTCTTATCCTGAGCATTGCCCCGCTCTGTTGTATCTGCCATGCAACACATTCTCTGTTTATCAGAAAACCAACGTTACTTGTCTAGGACTCATGATTTCGTGGATATTTCGATCTTCAAAGCTTGTTCCTTCTCGGCAATATCTTCGCGGAATCCGGTTAGTTTCGTGGAACTCTGCTTTCACCTCTTCCATCACATACTTTTACTTAGCACAGCGTATCAAAGCAAAGGGGACTGTCCTTGGCATCAGCATCGTCCTTGTCTTCCCCCTTGCTGATCTGCGCCTATGCAGAGTTGATTCTGGTGATCCCCGGCAAAGAACAAACAATTGCATGGCATGGCTGCGTTAGAAGGGAAACTATACGTTTGAGTTGAAGAGCCAGCATGTGAGTGATGGAGAGTCCAAAACTCCAAGAGCTTTCAACTCTATATTTGGCCACCACAGCCAAGCCTGCTTTTGTGGCTGATCCTTGATTCGCTTTGGTGATGATCTTTGACGGGCACAACTTGTTCAGAGAGGACGGTGTGGACCGGCACGACACCAGGAAAGTATAGTTTCCCTGGTAGATGTTCCATCTCAGGATAAGGCTTGAAAATGCTTGAAAGCATTTGAAAGCCACACCTTTGACATGATCTGTATATTATCATATGATAGATTCTGTCTGCTTTCAAAGGACCAAAACTTGAAAATACATGTTCATCAATCTGACTGGGCTTCGACGTACTCGCAGGTGACAAGTTCAACTGGTCAAACAACCCAAAACCCATCCCGCCTTCTTCCACTCTTGAAACATGCCTGAGTTGGCTGCAAGGTTCATTATCAATAACAATGGACCCATGGTGAAGGAATCTGGACCCACGTTTCGGAATTGTTCGTGATGGTTCTCCACCAGTGGTTTCCACAGCTCTGTTGAAAGGTTGTTTTTTCAACTACTTTAGGATCCGTCCTGGATCATCCATGCTTCAGGAACAGGCAAACAGGTTTCAGAACAGGGGGCGGTGGTTCATCTTAGTTCCAACCAGCCATTGAGTGGACCCACGTTGCGATGCAAGCGATGGGTCTTAAAACCCCACCCATTGTATGGACCAAAGCCTGCACGCCGTTGGCTCACTCTTTGGCTCAGCATTTGTTTCAAGAGGAAATGCGACAAGCACGTCAGTCAACATAGCCTTTGGGCTACAGGATTGTGGCTTCTTGGTTCATCAGTCTGCAAGTATTCTTCAATATTGTACATTGTACATCAAAAGCTGCTTTCCCCCAGTACATCAAACGTATCCATCACTTCCCCTACAGCAGGGACCGACGTCGCACGGGTGGGGCGATGGAGATCTGCTGGCGAAGTGACCCTTAGCATTCAGTGGAAATCCCAAGGCGATGAGAAGCTCTTGGAAGAGTTTGATGCCTCAGAGCGTGGTGGCCGGTGCGACCGCAAAAAGAAACTTCCGGGGTCGTCGCTGTTTTTCAAGAACATCTATGATAGATCAGTATACTGGAGAATCTGCCGTTTTGGCATTAGGCGTCCTTGGAGAACACTTAGACACCGTTAGGTTCCGGGAGCTTCATGAAGCTCTTCTCTCACCTTCGCATGGAGAACACCGCAGTGCGCCCCACCCAAACGTCGGAACCGGTAGAGGGAGGGTTGACGATTCCTTCTTACACCACTTGGGGGGGGGTCTTCTGGATGGTCTGCTGGGAGCATTCTGATGATCAAACATATACAAAGACTATAGATCCGCCACCTTTACAATGACTCTATAATATCACAATCATCGAATGTCGAGTCAGCAAATCAGCAAATCCTCGAATCGGCCCCCATTTGGGCCGTCTTTATGGAAGAATGATGGTTGTCAATGGCCTATCGGGAACTTGGCGCCGTCTCCTTGAACCAGTCCAAGCACGACTTATATATTCCAATTGAGTGAAACATCACCAAAAAGGGACTGGAAGGAAAAGAAACAATCATGTTCTAGACTGCCTCCGTGCGAGCAAAATGAGTAATCCACCTAAGGGAAAGAACTTTTGCCAAACCCGCATGCCACCGGTTTCGAGTTTCTTTTTTTCCGCGAGGCGCCAACCTGACATCACCCTGACATCACAATGAACACTCTGAACTGGTCTCTGACGAACAGATCACATGGAAGTGGATGGCATGGTCCCTTGAAAAGACAACTTTCCTTTGCAAATATGTATGTTTATATACAGTATATAGATAGCAAAGGAAACATATATGTATATACACAGTATACACATCTTCATGTTATTCCTAATAGCGTATATTGGGGGGCGGGGGGTCCACTTCAATGTGAGGAACCGAGTGCAAGGTTTTCTTGCTGAACAGTGAGTACACATCAACGGCCAGCTTGGCCAAGGTGGCTCCCTTCAACGCGCAGCTACGTGCAGCGACGCGGGGCGACCACGGCTGGCATGGTAACGCAGTTGGAATATGTTGGAATGACTTCTGCATTCCTCCGGCCGAGCTATCATCGAATACTTCCACCCAAAGCTTCTTCTGGTTGGTACAGCTTCAACCCACCTGAAGAAGATGATATAGTCACCGGAATACTGGTCATTGCAGTGAATCATCCCACAATCGAACACTTGAACAAATGCACATATTTTACAACACAAATTGACATTATTCACTCCGAGAGCTGCCTTTGTTGTGTTGATGTTCATAGGGCTCAACCCCAGCCGGAGCGACTTGGCGAGCTTACGCGACTCAGGCACCCTTATGACACAACTCTTTCATCTCATGACTACAGAAATTTTGACATGTTTTGACCCTTGCTGAAGTCTTTCCTACATGTCGAGACCCACATCCATTTCAAGGATGCCTATCACAAAGTGATCCAAATCACAGTGGTTGAGATCCTACAAGTTGGTTAAAACAACAACAAAAAATCAAAAAACAACAATGGACATTTATGATTGTGCTTAAAAGAAAATCACAATTTATGTAAATAACATCAAACAAACAACATATAGTTTCTTAGAATCGTTTTTCTTGAAACCTTTTGAAACCATACAAACTGCCACATCGGTTCATAAATGTTTAATAGTTTATTGAACGACACCGTTGATGGACGAATTCCTGCACAACCTTTGCAGGATTTTGGACCTTCAGCTTGTTTTAACTTTCTCACTGTGGTGGCCCCAATGTTAACGAGGGAGGAAGAGGGCAGCAAGAAAACTGTGCACGAAGTGGTGCAGGATTTTGTCCATCAACAGTACAAACTACATATTATATATATAATATATATAGCAATATTCTTAAAATGTTTTATGAAAACAATATGGAACTGATATGATTTGGACAAATGTCTGGTTCGTGTCCAGGGATCATTTTCTTTTATGTCTGTTTTACAATTACGAAAGTTTCGTCATATCTGTTTCATTTATATAAAGGAAACAACAACATAGTGAATTCATATTTAAAACACACAATGAAATATAATGAAATTGGATGAAATTGGCATTTACCAGACCTGTCATATATCAACACTATGGCACAACATGGCTCAACATGATCCAATGACCCAATGGCAATTGGTCTGTTTGGCGGTAGATGCTACTGTAGATGCTACATTATTTCTGGGTCATGCCCAGGTAGCAACTGTCTTCAGAAGATGGCTGAGCATGAGCAAAGACCTTTGTCAAAATAGCGAGGCTCCTTGATGCGAAACTGTTAATGTTTGGACGGAGTAAGCCTACATAATTACATGAAGTTGTCCACCTCTTCTTCTCATTCTCAAGAAACCATATACAAAACATGATCAAACCAATCTGGCTCCAAACATATGACATTTAAGTGTTCTTTGAAACAACACACTTTTCCAGTGCATCTTTTCCTTTTGGACGGACGTATCGCAACGACTGGATCCAGGCGCGCGGCGTTCTTCGGTCCACCGCCGCTCGACCGCTCCGCCGCTCCGCTGCTCACCGCTGGCCGCACGAGGTCTCGTGACGTCCAATCGCTGAAGCCAGTGAAGCCCATCCACTGAGTAGTTGACCTATGATTCGCCAGTCTTCCCACAGCTCCACGAAGAGGCTGAAGAGTGGTGAGCCCCGGATGCATCCGTTGAAGGTTTGTCAGACCTCAAGCGTCTCGATCTCTCAAATCCTTGGCCATGTCGCGTTGTAAAACATAGCAGTCGCCTGGCAGGGGCACATCATCTTCCTTAGCACCCAGCACCAGCTTGAGCCTTGCGCCTTGCGCCGTTTCTCGCAGCCTAGGTTGCCTTCTTCTAGGTTGTAAGGGCCAAGTGGTCGGTCGGTGATGAGAACAAAACCAGTCGGGCGTTCACATCACCATTGTAGGAGAGACGATTAGACAAGTTCGAATCAATGTCTGTCGCAATACAGTTCCCTGGAGTGAGGTCTTTTCTTGAGCTGCTTTCCTTTAAGGCAGGAGAACAACTGACCTCAGTATGTAGGACAAGACTCCTTTAGTCAAGTCTATAAGCATATTATATAGAATTTCCTGCGCATACAAATTAATGCTTCAGCAAAGTGTGGCATCTTCCCCTAAAAGTTGACCTGGACATGTGTTTGTCCATTTTGTTAAATATTTAGTTGTGTTATGTTGTATTGTATGTGAATGCACGAGTGAAAGGTGGAAACTTCAACATCAACCCACTGTCTTTGGTACAGTGCTTCACGATGCTAAAAAACAATGCAGTTCGCTATGTTTGCGCCGTAGCAAGCCCTCTCAGGCACCCACGATGCGCAATGGGATTGTCTCTGCCTCCAAAACAGCCAAGGAATGCTCGGAGGCCAGCGCTTCAATGTAGCCACGACTGTGGGCGATGCGTCCAGACTCGCGCACCACACGGCCCTTCAGGCATGGTGCGGTCGCAGGCATGAGTTAATGGGTGCGGCCCTGTGTGGTTCAGCAAGTGTGCTCCATGTTGTTTGTGTTTAAGCCTTGAAAGACAAGTGTGAAAATGATAGATCTGATTTTGTAGTGTAAAACAATGGTTGTTCGGGAAAGATCATATTAAATGAAGGTTTGAATCCTAGTGTAAGAAAACAGAAACACAACAACCAAGACATGTCGTAAAAAACATCTAACATCGAACCAGTGCTTTGACCTATTTTTGAGCCATGGCCCTCTTCCAAAACTTCAGTTCCTTCTGGTTGAAAAGGGCCCAAGAAGTGGAGAGCGGGATGACACGGAACCTGCGACTCTTCACTTCCGTGACATCCCACTCGACCTTCGAGGGTTTCCAGCTCTTGAGTCTCAAAGGTGGAGCTTGGGGTGAGGACCAACCACTGTAAAGTCCGGCAGAGTCCGCAGTTCGCCTCCACATCGAATTCACCTCTTCGGGGCGATGGTTGGTTTGGCATGGGGGAAGCTCTCCGAGCCGAGGCCTTCGAACACCGGCCTCGGTGACTTCCGTGTCCAGCGCCAGCTCGGTGGAGAAGAGGAACCAGCCGCCCCTCTTCAAGACGCGATGGGCTTCACGAAAGACCTGGTTGGTCGATCTCGGTCCGGATCGAAGACCCCAGCGATCTTGGGATCGGTCACATGGGTGTGGAGAAAAATGAAGACCTCCCCGGCAAGAACCCCTGGAAGAAGGGAAATCAACACGCAGGACAAATACCGATTGCTTGGAGGTCTTCCTAGGACGGTGGGTCCGTCACCGAAAGGAGGGTGGGAACGAAGCCTGGTAGATCTTTCATGCTTCGTTTAAACGGTCAAGTCCTTGCGTGGTCGATTTCTGAAGGCAAAACCAATTGATTGGACACAGGTGAGAGAACCGGAAGCACTTGGCACTGCTTTGGATAGAAAACCATTGGGAAAGGCAATATTTGGCCACTTCATGCCACTTCAATCATGTCGGTTCTTAGACCACAGATTGTACTTATTTGCTGGTTTCACATGGTTTCACCCGTTCTAGTAGGCTGCTAGTCATATCTCGTGTTTCTGCAACCAAATTCGAAAGAAGACGCTTCCAGGAGTTCCATGTCGGAGTGGTTAGACTCGACCCCAAGTGAGTGGATGTTCCGGGCAGCCCTACCACTCTTCCAAGAATCACCCGAACTTGCAACTTGCAACTCCAAGAGCTTTAGGTCGAAGCAGGTTCCGTTTCTTCCAAACTCCAGATTCAATTTAAAGGCTTACGATCCTTGCAAGCCTTCAGTCTTGGATCGCCCTTTTTCGCTCAAAAGGGTGAGCTATGTACTTCCCTTCGACTGGTGTTGACGAAGGGTGAAGAACCTGCTCCGCTGGCGCCTTCTCCAAGTGTTCCACATAAATCAACACGTCCGCCGCGAGGAGTACATCCACCGCCTCGGCCCTTTCGTGGCGCTCCAGATGCGCCAGCAAATCACGCTGAAAGAGCGCGTCATAGGCACCGTCCTGCAAGAAGATGAAGCCAAGACTATACAGGTGGAATTCATGATATATATATATATATAAGGACTCACACCCTGTGTTTTCACCCGCGCATGCAGTCATGTGTCAGAAAAAACTTAAAAAGGAACATACGATCGAGAAAGACTTACCTTTCCGTTTCTCGGGTCAACACCCTTAGAGGCGCAGCGACCTACTTTCCAGCCAATCCAAAGAAGAAAGCAGGCCGCCCCTCATTACCCCCCAAGCATCCTGCCAGTCCAGGACACTTGGGCACAGGTAAACATCAAAGTCTTTCTCTTGACACGAAATTAATTTCCTCCCCGCACTGGTTAACACCTCCCTTCCAACTCCCCCTACCCTGCTTTAGTACGCTCAAGCGCTCTCGGCAGGCGTTTCAAGTCATGCTGGTGAAACGTGCGAAGAAAAGGGACCAACGATTTTCGGGGAATTTTGAGAGAAGCGACCATGGCTAGCCCCTCATTGATGTATATGCGAGCCGTGCGAGCAGCGGCCCACAATGATCCGGTCTAAGGATCCGTGCCGGCCAAACCAACAGGTAGCCCCGCCCCGTCGTAAACTGTACGGGCGGAACTCGAATTGCTCTAAGTTCAAAGCCCTTACACACTCAGAGAATTTCTTTCGCCATTGGTGCGGCGCAGGGGTAAGGGGGCAGCGCGAGGAGGATGCATTCTTCCATGCCCAAAGCCACTGAAGGGCACAGGTGACCGAAATGGTAACACTCTCAGAGGCACCAGCACGCTTCCCCGACTTAGTCAGGCCCAACGAGATCACTGCAGGTTTATCGGGAGATGTCATTAAAATGTGGTGATTGCACAATCCCAGAATCTCCCCTGTGTGCAGCAAACTGTAGAAGCCCAAACACAAGCTCAAGCCGAAGGCGAATTCCTCATGGAAAAGGCACCATCCAAGCATGGCCTGCAGACATTCCTCCGGGAGAGGGGGTGCGCGGCTAGGTATTTCATTGACGTGCCACGTCTTCAGCAACCTCCATGTCACCTGAAGTTGACCCTTCAACCGCGGCTCCGTGTCCTGAAAACCAGCGACCGTGTCACTTGCCAAGGCGCGACCCTCTCCCACACTCCAGAGGTGTTCAACGTAGTCGGCCAACATATCATCGAAGGCAGAGAACTTGGTGGGTATACTCAAACCATTTGCATGGGCGTAGTCATAGAACTTTTGCTTTGCCAGGCTGTAGCGTTTTCTAGTTTGCGGTTGAACGGTCAGTTCACGAAGGGTTCCTAATGCTTGTCGGTTCTTTGCTCTTTCTTCCTTGCTATGGCCCTCCAAATGCTGCTTCACTTTCCCCATTTCCGCTGATGGGGCCGCCGGCTAGGCCGGTCGGCTGGGTTTTGAGCAGTATGCACGTAACCCCAGATGGGGTGGAGGTCCGCAGCAAGGATTAAAGAGTTGATCCGCATCAAAACATGCCTCAACTTTTTGGAAGAGCTCCGACCACGCGACAAGCTATGCAAACACACCAAACTGTCCGTCAAATGCAGAAAGCGCTTACGGCTTACGATGTCCATTGCGACGAATCACCAGCCACCTCAATGTAGTCAGGATGGCCCGAAGCTCAAGCACATTGATGTGCTCACCCGAATGGCGCCACTGCCACCCTGTAACTTCACGCCATCGCCACAACTTGGCCGGCACACTAGAACGCAAACGGTGGAACTTGACCTGGGGCTCACTGACTGCTGTGACCATGAGATCTTCGCCCTTCATTGACACTAACCCGAGCAACTTCAACAACAAAGGTTTCTCAAGGGTCTCAACCAATGTCCGGTTCGTTGACAACGGCGGGCGAAGTAGGATTCCCTGCAACGAGCCACTCCGACCTGGCGTCAAGTAGTCCACAAGCTGTTGAAGGCCTTGCCGTCGACAGAAACCCAAAGGGCCAAGCAACTGCTCCAGCAGCCAGGTGATGACTCCTACATGCCAGGAGTTGCCGATCAATGTCAATCGAGTATCTTCCCAAAGCGTTCCGCTCTGTTGATTCTTCGGGAGACAAGGTCGGGTATATCCAACCGGAATGCACATGATGGCCTCCCTCTCCTGGATATTCGGCCTCCGCGCCGCTCCTTTCCGGGTCCAGACAAGGTTGTGGTCACGATATTGGTATGGTGGGAAGCGGTAGCTGTCATCTTCCCATCGCTGTCTTTCATGTGGGGCGCAACGACCCAACCCGGCCGGTCTGAATCCCGGCTGTTCACGCGGCCGTGAAGTGGTAAAGGTCGGAAGTTTGAAGCCTTCTGTGACGAACCATCCCTGCTCCAAAAATGCCTGTTCATCCACGTGTGCCTTCAACTCCACAACGCCACAACCTGCCCACTCAGGGCCACCACTTACGGGAGGGGTGATCTTGACTCATCCCTCCCCCTCTGTCAAGTCCCAGTCAACCCAATAAAGTCGAGGTCGATGACACAAACTGATGCCTCCAGAATCAACCCGGTGCGGCTGCAACCCAACGGCGGCGCTCATGACGCAGCGGTCTTGTTCCGACATTGAAGCTACAGATTCCATCAACAACCTCACCTGGGCCCAAGGAAAATGGATCTTGAAGAGCTCCTTTATGCGGGGCACCTCCTGAAAGAGACAGCTCCGGGCGTCACGCAAGGCCCCTTTCTTCGAGGCATTGAGATTGCTCACTCCCTGACACGGTGGTCCAGCGCCCATGAGGACGAGCGACACTGAGGGAAAGCGCATCGCAAGACTTCTGACCAACTCCTCGTCCACCGTGGTGACATCATCGTGGAAGATGGTATCAGAAAAGAAAGCTTCGACCACGCGTCGTCCTGTTCCTTCTTTCTCAACGCTCAGGTGACCGGCCACGCCCACGCCCAAGCTGTCTACCGCTAGCCTCAGCGCCCCCAAACCATCGAAAAGTCCAACCGTCAACACTTGCAGAATCTCCCCTTCTTGCGGGAGATCACCCCTACTCTCCGTGTTCAAGGCCGCCACGCCATACCCAGTAAGTCCTTCACTCACACACACTCCGCCCCCAGAGGTGGAGGCGTCACTGCAGGTGACATGGTCCATGAAAGGGCACCGGAAGTCAATCTGGGCCAGTGGAGTCAACAAGGTAAAGGTCAGCAACTCTCTCTGGACTCCCACAGGGACCGGGAGCCTCACCACGGGCGGTAGCTTCTTGAGCTTCTCCATGAATTTCCACACCTCGTTCAGGATCCCCAACAACGGTCTCCGAAACATGGTGAAGTACACGAAGCCGCCACATACCACCTGAAGCTCCTTCAAGGTACAACAACCACGGTCGACCAACATCACCGCCAGCCGGCAATACAATGTAACCTTGCCTGCCTTGGGCTGAGCAAACCCCTCAACCCCGTCGATGATTGCACCTTGTATCTCCGCGACCGGAGCCCGGACTACAGCTTTCTTTGGATGCCGAGGGATACCTTGTGAGGCGTACTGCTCTCTGAGGTCTTGCACTGCTTGGGCCACCCGCCCACGTACTGTGTCTGCTGTGGCGGGGTCAAATCGCTCCACGAGATCAAAATTGTCAAGGTAGACGCGATACTGGTTTCTGGCCGCACTACTGACACGATCCTTTCGCATCTCACATTCTCCTCCAAGCACCTTGTTGGCCTGCTGACTCCAGGTGACAATATTCCTATGTACGTGTTGTGCGATAGACACGCTATTGAGGAATCCCATGGGCAACACGCACGAGGTAAGCACACAAGGACGATCGCGCCACGCTTCAGGCACCAAGGACGGGGGTACAAGGCGATTGAATCCAAGGAAGCGCTTCCACGAACTTGGAACCCTGAACAGATAAAAGAAACAACGCACATCTTCTGAACTGATCAGAGCCATCTCCCCATCGTCCAAAAGGAAAGACCCAAAACTACTAATATTCGGGAGAGTTGCGACGTCTCCCACTAGTGCTTCACACAGTTGGTTGAGTGGCACCAAATTCATAACTTGAGAGGAGGGAGACACGAAAGGTAAGACAGCGGGAAGAGAAGAGAACGCGAGAGGCAGGAACAAAAATGCAATGTTCGACATGGTGATTTATCCCCTCGGAGGCGACCTTTCGTACATATATGTTCATATGCACTTTAAATGTTCAAACATGTGCTCTCGAAATGTTCAAAAAGACATGGCTCAGATCATCGGTGAGCATTGAATCGGAACATCATAGGATTTGAACTATCCTGAAACCAGAAGAGGCTCACGAAGACGCTCCCCAGGAGAGAATTGACGTGCTTCACAAAACAAACTCTAGGTATGTATCCCCTCGGGGAACACCTTTCGTGATTAGAATTTCATATTCACTCTTTCTGAATGTTCAAGAGGGTTTCAACTATCCTGAAATCATGAGAGGCTCACGAAGACGATCTCCAGGAGAGAATTGATTTTAGAGGGGGGGAGG